AATGAAGACATTCCTAAAGGCTGAAGAACTCACTGCAAAGCAAAACAATATTCTATTACATAGTATTTCTAATAAAATAGCATTTTATTTTTTCATGTTGTCTTCTGTAAATGAAGAGGGAAAAAAGAGAGCTAGGAAAAAAAAGTAGAAATCATTAGTTAAAATCATCCATCATTGAAAGACTTTGCAGCAGATGCTTATTTCCTTATGACTTTTCAAGCTTTATTTCTTGCATTATGCTTAAGTCTCATGGAAAGATTAATGTTCATTTAGTTGCCTGAAATGGTGCCACAAGCACTTCTGGGTGCAGTATTCCTTGCACAGAATAAGCAAGTTTTTTTCTGTGTATTGAATGTGTGAAGATTTCTTGTTGAGTATGAAGTTTTCTTGGGCCTTCCACTACACTTACTGTCTGTGTGATTTCCATTTTAAAAACAGATTTGGAAAGAAGTGGCACATCAAATGACCTTAATTCCTTTTTTACTGATAGCTCTGAAGAACTAAGTATGACAGGATTAATCAAAAGCAAAACTAAATGACATACATATAAAAAGGGCAAGTGAACACTAGTAAGAAATTTATTCTTCTCCCCTCCCTTTCTTTTTTTTTTTAAATTGGAGCATCCTGGTATCATGCTAATGGTGAGTACAGTTGTACATAAAGTACCTTTTGTACTAGACAAAACCTGGTTGGTTTATTTGCATTCAAAAACCCTGAAGAACATATTAATTTTTGTGCATGTTTGAATAAGCAGAGAAAGAGCAGAGCTGAAATTTAAAATCTATTGGCTTTTACTATATCTTGGTTTTATTCCTCTTTGGTAAGTGTGAAAGACTCACCTAAAAAAGCCCAAAAGTTAAAAATAGTGCTATTGACGTTCTTTTTATGATTTTGGAGTTTAATTTTATGTATTAGAGAACAAGGAAAGCAAGTAACTCAAATCTGACTTTTAGAATATGATATAGTTTAAAATAATTTCTGGATATGGAAAAGCATGTCATTAAAAAATAAGGAAGACTTGTTGCTGTGTTGCTAAGCATTTCATGTGGTGACAATCTATCCCAAACTTCTGCTGCCGAGCAGGACTCCATTGAGTCTCAGCATGTCCCCCATTAAACCATCCCATCTCCGAAAATTATAAAGCTCATTAATGGCTTTCTGCTGTGAAACAATAAAGAATGTATTCATTGACTGGTCAGTAATTAGCGCCAACCAGCTTTTGTCCATCATTATACAAATATTCTGGTTCATTTATTCCAGAGCTAAAAGAAATCTATTTTTTTAAAACACCTTTTGTATTTGTGTGGGTGTATTTTATTGCCAGCAATCTCCGTTTGTTTTTATTTGAAAATTCAAATGCCTCTTCAGCCTGTGAGAACATGAACTCATTTCCCAGTCTGCTGCTTCTTTGTTGAAACAGCTCAGGTCACTGACTGGGTAGCCCCCAAAACACTAAGCCATTAGTGTCATAGTTCGTTTCTCTTTTCTCTCTTCGTTATTATGAAGTAGTAGATAATTTATATAGTGTAAAACAGAGCAGAAAGTGTGGAAAATCCACTTGAAACTTTCCATGTGCTCCTTTGCATCAGTAATCTGCATGGAGTCAGCTAAGGGCCCAGCTAGACTAAAGGGAAATAATGTTCTTAAGGTAACAGGAAAACAGAAATTCATTTCCACTGTCCTCATGGAAATTCAGACGTTCTTCCATGGAAAACCTTCCAACTGAGACTACACCATAGTCACAACTCACATCTCTGAGGCTCTACTTTTGCACACCTAGGATTTCTAGCCTGTATTACAGTGTGTGCCTTACAGCGCTTGGTTACTTTCAAAAATATTTGTAAGGATTTTGGTATTTGTGGACCTAGTTTGAAGGTGTAGCTTGTCTAGTAGAAGTACTAGTGGCATTCTCTGTGACAGATGAGCCATGAGGTGATACAGTCCCAAAATTAGGACAGCAGAACTTGGTCACCTGTGTGTATCAGGTTTTGTAAATAACAGAGGAAGATAGGAGGAAAGCAAAACTGAATGTTAATGAAGGTAATCAAGCACTTGTTTTTAATGAACACTTAAAAAATGAAGACTTGCATACAGTTGTGTAATTGAAATAGAAACGTAAGCCACAAAAAGCTAAGCAATCATTCCTTCTCCCCAGCTTTCCCCCACCATCCATCTCTTTTCTTAAGAAATCTAATTTATTTTTTTCTCCAAAGCCCTGTTAGGTATACATATTTATGAGAGATCCAAGAAAACTGTGATTCTTTGATTAAAGTTTCCAGGACCAGAAAGGAAGTAATACAGCCAGCACACACACACACACACAAATTATTAGGTATTTTTTGCTCATGTAGTTATCTCTGTAATGTTAGGTCTGTATCTGCACTAAAGATAGGTGTAGAGAACATCACCCTGAAGGTATCTCTTGCTGTCAGTGAATCATGAATGTCAGCCTTGACATGTATCTTCTGGTGATGTTATAAAGCATATGTGGCTTATTTTAAGCAAAGCTGTCCATACCTTTGTCTTGTCTTGTTGGAATAATCCTACTGTCTCCCAAGTGTCTGTCACCTTTTTGTTGTTCTTAGAGCTGAGAAATATCTTGTAAAGTCTTGTTAGGATACTTTTTAATTGTTTGGTTTTTTCCTCATGCTAACTTACAAAAGTCATTATGTCTGCCTTAAAAGATACACAATATTTTTACTGATACTGTAGAGAAAAGTACTTTATTTTAATATGGTTCGTAAACCCCAGTTATTGCAAACTTTGCACTTTGGATGCTCTGTGTCTTCTATACTTTTAAGCCCCAAATACTGCAAAGGCTGCCCGTGACTTGTTGTGTGACTTTCTGTGGAGCTATTAAATTGCCAAGCTTAAATACATGCTTCAGTTCTTGTAGCGTCCAAGTCCAGCTCTCTTTTCAAAGGCTTGCTTGAATGGGTCCTCGCCAGCACTCAGGGAGCAAAGGAGCTAGTATTATTTTGCTTGCTTCTGTCTGCCAGCTTCCTGTCTTCCTTACAAAACAAGCAGTTAACATACTGTTGAAGATGTGTCCAAAGGAAAAAAAATCAGATAAGTAAATAGAAGCTGAAGAGTCCACTAAATAGACTCTCTTGATATTTTGTCTTTCAGCAAGCAAATAATGCCGGTAAAACCTGAGCTGTCGTTTAATCATATGTCCATTCACTTGACCATGGAGTCTCTTCTCTAAGTAGTTATGCTGTCTTGCCAAAACCTTCCATTTAAAAAAAAAAAAAAGTGTCCGCGTTAGCTGTGATTTGTGTTTGACTGGATTATTCTTCTTATGGAACAGCTTCTCTCATAGTTATGTAATTGTACGTTAATATATCAACAATTTTGACAGAAATGCCCATGAAGTGTGGTGTGGTAATAAGGAATATGAAGCAATCCAAAGGAAAAACAAGTTTATCACACTGGGTCAGCATACATTTTTTAAGAGGAAAACTCCCAGGCAGCGTAATAGAGAATTAGAGCATTCCGGTGTTGTTCAACATCTTCATCAACGACCTGGATGAGGGTATAGAATGTACCCTCAGCAAGTTTGCTGATGACACTAAGCTGGGAGGAGGGGCTGACACACCAGAAGGCTGTGCTGCCATTCAGAGAGACTTAGACAGGCTGGAGAGTTGGGCGGGGAGAAACATGATGAAGTTCAACAAGGGGAAGTGTAGAGTTTTGCATTTGGGGAAGAACAACACCATGTACCAGTACAGGTTGGGGGCTGACCTGCTGGAAAGCAGTGTAGGTGAAAGAGACCTGGGGGTCCTGGTGGACAGGAGGATGACCATGAGCCAGCAATGTGCCCTTGTGGCCAAGAAGGCCAATGGCATCCTGGGGTGCATTAGAAAGGGTGTGGTTAGTAGGTCAAGAGAGGTTCTCCTCCCCCTCTATTCTGCATTGGTGAGGCCACATCTGGAGTATTGTGTCCAGTTCTGGGCCCCTCAGTTCAAGAAGGACAGGGAACTGCTTGAGAGAGTCCAGGGCAGAGCTACAAAGATGATTAAGGGAGTGGAACATCTCCCTGATGAGGAAAGGCTGAGAGAGCTGGGTCTCTTTAGCTTGGAGAAAAGGAGACTGAGGGGTGACCTCATCAATGTTTGCAAATACGTAAGTGGGGAATGTCAGGGAGATGGAGTTAGGCTTTTTTCAGTGATGACCAGTGATAGGACAAGGGGTAATGGGTGTAAATTGGAGCATAGGAAGTTCAAGGTGAATATCCGAAAAAATTTTTTTACTGTAAGAGTGACAGAGCACTGGAACAGACTGCCCAGGGAGGTTGTGGAGTCTCCCTCACTGGAGACATTCAAAACCCACCTGGATGAGTTCCTGTGTGATGTACTCTAGGTGACCCTGCTCTGGCAGGGGGGTTGGACTAGATGATCTCTCGAGGTCCCTTCCAGCCCCTAAGATTCTATGATTCTATGATTCTACGATTCTTCATAAACATGGTACCTTTTAAAAGAATAGATATAATCTGCAATCTCTTTAAAACTTTTCTAATTCTACATAAGTCAAGCTTATGTGAAACATAAAGTGAAAACAGAATAAATAAATGCTGTCTTTGCAGTAATTAGGATAGCAAATATGTTCCACTCATGATAAAGAACAAGATAAAAAACATTTTTCCACAAGATGATGCCAAACTGAACTCAAAGGTCTTGGCTTGTTATACCATCCCACATTAATCCTGACATTGCCAGCAGTGGATTTGTATCAGTGAGTATTACAACATAATGTAATTAGTAATGGTAATATTACCACAAATAATATAAAGAACCCTGCTCTACTGACTTTAAATTAGTTTTCATGCTGTTGTTGATGATTGGAATAAAACTATGGGTTACCTTTCCAGTTCTGAGAGTCTTGCATTAGTACTTCAGTATTTGTGACATGTATCAGTCACCGTGTATTTATGTATCTATGTAGAGGTCATTTACACTTAAAGGATTGGTATGAATTTAAAACTATTTTTTTTGTGACAGGTCACAGTAATGAAAGGCAGTAGTAGGAATAAGGATCATTCGACAGAAGGAGAAGGAACTGGGAAGCGACCAAAAAGAAAGTGTCTTCAGTGGCATCCTCTCCTTGCCAAGAAACTCCTTGACTTTTCTGAAGAGGAAGAGGAAGAAGAGGAAGAGGAAGATCTTGATAAGGTAGACTTCATTGGATGCTTTTGACCATAGAAAGATAATGGTGGGTCAGATTCTCCATAGGTGTGTTCTTGGTTGGTTTTTTTTCTGCTTCTTGCTGTTCTCTTTGAAAAACAAATGCAGCCAATTAAAAGCAGTTATGATGTGTACATAAGGCAGTAAGGATAAGTAGCAAGTAACACAAAAAAGTGAATTGTCAATCATGCTTTTAAAATCTTTGACAAAACCTTTTTTTTAGAGTTAGACTTAAGATGGGTTTTTGACATGGTTTTTAAAATTGTTTATTTTAGACATGAATTAGCCTGTGCTTGATGTGTGCTTTTCATGGCTCTGAGAACATGCAAAGCTAATAGTCCTCTTTTTCCTTTTGAAGATTTAAAAAATGCAAAAATTAAAAGGGAAAAAGAAGTCAACAATTTTTGTTATCTTTGCACATGAAATTCCACTTATCCTCCAGAATATTGAGAGCATGGGTGAAATAATCTGTCTCTGCTTTGACACTTAGTATTTCGGTACTACTCAGTGAAGCTGGCATTACCATTTTTTATGTAAGAACCTCAAAATGTGGCATCTCACAAATGTACAGTTAGACTCATCCTCAGTAAGAAGAAGTAGGAATGGGTTATGGAGACGTGATGTTTCCATCATGTGGACAACGTTCATATCTGCATCCCCTTTACTCCTTAAGCCAGGAAGGGAGAGGTCAGTGCTGAGGAGACTGCCTTGAGTCACATACTGATAAGAGTGACCTTGATGAGGATAAGGAGCAGCAAGGAGACTGATACACTGACAGTACTTTTGGTTAACCTTACCAGCTCGCTTCAACAATGTGGTATAAAATAGCAGTGTTGCAGTTAGGTAGGCGATGGTTTTCTTTCTCATACTGCAAGTCTTTTCATTCAGTCAGATCTACTCTTCTGTGGTTTGTCCCTTGTAGGTGGAGAGAGCATGTGTTGGCAGTGTGTGCTGTTGGGATTTGCCCTCTGGCTGTGGCTGGGCAGCTGTGTCAGTGGCTGCACTGCAGCACCACTCACAGGATGAGTAATAAGCGGCAGGAGATGGGGGGACAACTCTTTAGTTGTGCACTTTCATGCCTATGCAATCTATAGTTGCAAACACACATAATTGAGGTCAAAGGTAGTTCTGATCACCTCATCCCGCTGGGATAGTTTCTGGATTGTAGGAATAGGGTAGGAAGGTTCTCCTCCTTCCAGCCCCTTTAGGACTGTTACTAGAGAATGGTGCACAGCTTAGAAATTGCTTCAGTTGCAAGTCTGACTGTAAGTCTTGCAGAGGGCATGAGTGAACCTTGAACCATCAGCTAAGGAGGTTTGATGTAGAACTCCAGATCTTCTGGACAAAATGGATGGCCTTTGGAGATAGCTGTGTGTGTCCATATGCATCTCCCTCGTTCACACATCCAGCATACACAGACTCCCAGTCTCGGTGGGAAGCATGGATAACTGAGTTCACACCCCTTCCCTTTTGGTTCTGTCAGGTGCCTCTCCTTGGCGCTGAGGGTTTAGAGCAAGATGCTGATGAGACCGAAGATGACGAGTCCTCGGAGCAGCGCGCTCGCCGACCAATGAATGCGTTTCTCTTGTTCTGCAAGCGCCATCGCTCTCTCGTGCGTAAAGAACACCCTCGCCTGGATAACCGTGGCGCGACCAAGATCTTGGCGGATTGGTGGGCTGTTCTAGATCCAAAAGAAAAGCAGAAATACACTGACATGGCCAAGGAGGTATGTTCTCTCTGAATGGTGGGTGTAAAGGGAGTTCATTACACATTTGTCTGTTTTCTGTTTCTCTGTATTAAATGTTTTCTGTGGGGTCTTTTCTGTGGGGTCAGCTTCGCCAGTGGGATTATGGTGCCCGGAGCTGCTGCTGTTCTTACTTTGATTCACTTAGTCTTTTGGACTAGAATGAAAAGAAACTCGTCTGTGTACACAAACTAACCTGGCTCTAGTAATCAGTGGTACGCACATATGCACTTTGTGATAGATACCACCTGATAATTTTTGCGGATAGTGTGTGGTGGTTGAAAGCAATAAACTACACAGTTCAGTGTCAGCTGACTGTAGTGATGCATACCTCAAGTTGTGCATTTGCTATCGATGATACATCACTATTATAATATAGGTGGACCAAACCAAAAGCATAGTCAACAAATGTAGTCCCTCTTTACCTTTGATGCTTCATGAAGTACTCTTCCTATGGATTGTTAATGATTTTCTGATAGAGCAGCCTTTGGTGGGGCAGAGCCCAATACCTGAATCACAGAGCAGTACACAGGCAGAGTCCTTTAACTGGGAGAAAGGAAAAGAGATTTATCCCCATATTTTGCAAAGTATTTTTACATCAACTTAAAATTTGAATGAGGCTTTTTAAGAAACAGCTTGCTTGGTAAGTTGGCCCCAAAAAGTCTGCGAGTATCCGTAGTAGAGTGAGAGGCACGTAGCTAGTTACTTAGCTTTATAATATCACCCCAAAACAGATCCCTGTAACTACATGTGTGGTGTAGATTGCTGGTAACCATTTAATTCAGTCTTAGAAAAAATAACAGAGGGCCAGTGAGAAGGAAGAACATCTCTCTCGTTTATCGAGCAATGCTCACGCACTATGGGAAATACAGATAACTGGGAAATGGTTGGGGAAAATGCTACCTGCATCTGCCCTGTACCTGCATCTGCCCTGTCGCCCAAGGCTGTCGAATACTGTTAACACATGTATTGTCTGTATGTATGACATACATGTATGTATGGTCTGGCTCTTCAGTAGTTTGTGCAAACAGGAAAAACACAGGAAAAACAAAGTTTTCTGCATGGCAGGTCCTTTCTGATGCCAGGGCCTGTAGTACCTCCTCCATAGTTCCCCATCTGTGACACGGTGTTGAAATACTGGAGTCTCAGCTTTCTCCAGCCATTCCTGATTTGTTCTGCATTTCCATTTACAAATTAGTGATGCTTCTTGAAATGTGTGGGAAAAGGGCAATTAGGGGATCTAGTACAGATACAGGGAAAAGAATGATGAAAATGAAGAACTAATTTTTGGAAGAAACAACCTCAGGGGACTGCTCTTTTGTAGTCTTTTGTCTTGCTGTGAAGTGAACTCATTCATTAAGAAGGAAAATAATAGCAGAACTTCTGTATGAAGTGACAGATCTGAAACTATTAATCATATTGTTGTAGAAATGATTGTTCCTGTAGTGATTTATTTATTTTTCTCGCCCTGAAGAGCAAATTGCATATTCAGTGTCAAAGCAAAACAATAAATCTTAAGTAGTTTTCATCATTACAACTAGTTGCAAGAGTGTGTAGAAGAGAGATAGTGTATAATTTTTATTCTTTAAACAGTTGTATGTTATAACAGTAATTAGCAGCTGTCATGTGCCTTCTTCACCACCACAGGCCTGGTCTGTGTGTGTGAATCAGTTTTGTTTTAACACTGTCTTTTGTCGTTAGGCTTACTGCTGAGACTGTTGAAAAGATGTTAATGTCAACTCTAGTGCAAACCATTTATTGGTATTTTTCATTTTCCTAAGGAGAACTCATTTAAAGTCAAGAATGTGAATGCCTTTGGGAGGACATAAAATTACCATTGTACCAATAATCTTCTATTTGAGTACTTATATGTATAAGCTCATTAAGTTTAAAATACAGTGGATGAACATAGTGTTATTTAAATGTAGCTTTTCAGTGCCCTTCCAGTTTTCATTCCATAGCCTCTAGCCACTGCCCTGGCAGAACAAACATCTTCTGAAGGACCATGTGTCATATCCACTACCCCCACAACATGTCTTGTTTTCTCTGAGCTTCTGAATCATTATTCCTGAGATGGGAATGGGCCTCACAGAAGTGGTCACTACTGCAGTGGCTACAACCCTTGTTGTTTTACAGGCTTGAAAATATTTTTACTACTTTGAAGACAGAGTTTACGAAGTCAGCTTAGATCAAGCATGAAGGAAGCAGCTTTCCATGTCTTACTTGCTTAGTACCAGCAGTGTAACTGTTTCAGCAGTATGCAAATCTAGGCATTTACATATTTACTTATATATGTCTAACTATATGCAAGACGTATTTTGGAACATAGTGAGGCACCCAAACTTCTTGGCAAGTAGAATTAGGACAAGTTTCCTAGTGGGCTGGACAGCTTTCCCTGCTTCCCACTGAGAGGATAATCAGGTCTATAGTTCATTTAGGCATTTTTGGAAAATCCTGTTATGTACCTATCTGCATCTTGGCCCCTGTTTCCTCTGTTTTCAGTCTTGTGGTTTATGGTCTCTTGTAGCAACACCTGCACTGGAGATCTCATGGTACACCTGCAGACCGCAGTATCACCTTCTGCTGGTGTTCTCTTTAGGAGCAGGCTTTCTGTTTATCCTGCAGGCTTCTAGATCAGCTTAACTTTGGAAGTTGCATTGTCTAGGGTATAAGCCCAGTAGGTGATAAATACTCCAAGTGGAACCACAAATGTTCTGCCAGTTGTTACTATTTCCCTTCACTGAGGGAAAAATGAATTCTCGCTATACATTAATATGCTCCAGCAGTTTTAGTTACTTTGGTAATACAAGTAGTGTGTTTTTCTGTTAACTCTTACAGGGCTTTCACTGCAACTGCCCTGTTCAGGGACTGGGAATAATCAGCTGCCTTGGAAAACAGCCAGTGAGATTATTATTGCTCAAGCCTTGTTTCCCTTGCTAGAAAACACTTCATTTTAAAAGACAACCTTGCATTGGCAAGATCCAGGCAGTCAGGATTGTTTCCTGCAGGGAGAAGCCTGATGAATCCAGGCTGCTGCCATTCAGTGGCAGAGCTGAACACTTGTCAGGGCAACTGCTCAGCCAGTGGTTTGGCAGATACAGTCAGCCCGACTGGAAGCTGGCTGTCATTGCTGGGCCACTGCTTTGGCAGCCCCTCAGGAGAGGAAGAGACAAATGCTCTGGCTTGTTGGCTAGAGTCCAGCAAGTTCACTGGGTGACGTATGGACCATAACATGTAATGTGAACCCTGTGTCCTTCAGGAGTGAAAAAAAGGAATTTAGTGTTTTTGGGGGATTTAAAAAATTATTTAACTGTATTACTTTTTTAAAATGTTGGATGTCTGGGATTCATGTAATGTTTAATAGCTAGTTGGTGAGATTTAAGTATGCATTTCAAGTTAAGCACGTGCTAACTGCTGCCGTGAGGTATAGCTGGAGTCCACTTGTGAGCTCCTGTTCTCACCACACTAGAGAAAGCAAATCTTTTTTATTTGGTGATGAAAGCAACTCAGGGAGTTCTGTTGAAGTGTAGCCCCTTTTTTAACCTCAGCTCTTAAGTGGTACCAGTCCTACCACATAACACATCCTTCCCCAAACTATCACAAAAAAGAAATGGTACATCAGACCAACCCTACAACCATATCCTGGGACATCAGGACATGACCCTAGTGGTCTGTCCCTGCTGCTCAAGGGATGGAATCTTTGAATTCCAAGTTAAGGACTTTGGGGTTTTTTTAAGCAACTTTAGAGACTTTCTTAGGCTGCCTGTGCTATGTTGGTTTACTGCACAGTTGGTCAAATGGAGGAAAACATTAAGCTTGATATTGCCTTTGGCATTTTTTAATTACTGGGTAGCTCATTAAATTATCTTCTCATTATCTGGCAAGCAGAATCCATCACTTCATTTTAGGCCTTGGTTAATAGTCATGAAAATCAATATTGAAAGTCTTCCTGAGATTTGGATCAGGTCTCTGTGTATTTTGTAAAACTGCTTCTTGGCCACTGTTTAAGTTTTACATTTTCTTTCTCATTTGTCTTGAGTGTTGAAACTCTGAAAGAGGCCAATGAGTTGTCCACCCTCGGTTTGCTCCCTCCCCAATAGAGAGTGAAGTTAATGCTTACTTCTTGGCTTTGCAGAGGAAAAAATCCATTAATACATGACCTCACTTGAATTGCTCTTGTTGGAAACTGATTAAAAGCTTATTGCTGCCTTGTCTTGCAAATAGCATGCATTCTGGCTCTCATTTGATGGCCAGCTTGTTGGCTTGTCAAATTATTCCTTAGAATAATTTAATTACTCAAAGCAGCAATGCTGATATGAAGAGCTTACGTACCTAAGTTCTAGCAATTTTGTGCATTTCACTCTGCAGGCAGAAACATGATTTGTGAGTGGGCTGTGACTTGAACAATGGAAAGCAAAACTGCCTCTCTGTGTGTTTTTGCCTCTTCCCTTACCCCCTCCTTTTCCTTTCCCTCTACCAAGCTATTTTTTTGGTGTACTGAGCTCCCAAACTAAACTGAGGGAAAGGGAAAAGGAGTGAGGTGAGAGGTGCTGCAGTCGTTATGTTAATACATATACCCTCTTCAGAAAATACTGCATGTATGTGGGTCAGCCATCCCTGCAGATTTTTATTATTTATAGCCATTTCTATAAATACAGGACTTCATGCAGTGCTGTGCTTTTGTAAACTGAAATGTTTTTATTCTTGCTCTACAGTCTGGAGGTAGCAGGAGCCAGCTGATAAGTTATGGTGAAAGTAAAAGTAAGCAGTACACATGTGATGGTGACCCTGCAGCAAGGTGTGCTGCTTATTGATCTGGGAAAACACTGCAGTGACTCTATCAGAAGAGGATGTTTTGGGTGCCGATTCTGTATTTGATAGCCAAGGGGTTTTTTTGTTTTTTCCTCTCTGCATGTGTTTCTGTGCTGGCATGTGCATGAAACATAAGTGGTTCTCTGTGCCGGAACCAAGACTGATGACAGCTGGGTGGGTGGGAATGTGTAATCACAGAAAAAAACTTCCTGCAGCTGCCCTGCCGTGTACTTGAGGATCAAGTAACTCTTTTGGTCGTTTGCTGCCATCGAGAGATACCAAGTGCATGAGGAGGTACTGGGTGGGTTCCTTCTACCCACACTGAGCACTGATACTTACAGGGTAGACTCTCACAGCAGCCAGTACTGTATGCTGCTATCTGCTGTTAGGCAAACATCGGCAGCTGGAATGCATGACATGTTCCTCTTGATTCATGTTCTCCACCTTGCACAACTATGTTAAAAAATACTGAAATGTGCTCCTTTTATTGGTCTTAACATTCAAAAATCTTGTTTGTTCTGGTCAGCAAATATGTAGAAAACATCACTGTTGCATTTGGTGAATAAAATCAGTCCTCATGCTTCGTTCTACCCCTGCTACCTGTGTAGCATCCAGACCTTTTCCCCCACCCATCATGTGTAGTCTGGCTTAGTTTGCTGCCTCATACCACAAATACAGCAAACAACTGAGATGTGTGCTGTGTGCTCAAGGCCAATCAAAAGTTTTGTATGGTCCCAGTTTATTTTATGCAGCCACATGATGTGATAAGATTTTGGAAAGAACAACAGGGATGAAGTATCAGAAGTTCCTCAAAATGAGGCAATACTGATAGTGGTTTATTTTTGGTGCCTGGTTTAGGAGAGCATGTACTCAAATATTCTAAAATACAAAACTGTTAGAGAAAAATACGTGCCAGGTAAGGAGTGTCATGCTGCATTGATTGCTAAATGGTTTTTTTTTTCATTTCATCCAAACTAAAAAGTAAACGAAGATTGTACCTGCAAAAGAATTCAAATAGCTGTCTTTGTTTCTCAGAGAGTGAGCATACAAGCACTGGGGAGAAGTCTACAGGATCAGAACTTCAGCCTGCTCTGGGTGATAAACCCACAGGAGAAGAAAGAGAAACTTCACTTCTTTAAATACAGCTCTACTTATCTTAATATTTCTTCTTATTAGATTGTGTTGGCAGTCAGATGCTAAGCATGTGATTAAACTGTTAATAATCAAGATATTTAAGGATTATTTACTGTTTTAAGTCCTCTTAGATGCAGTGCACTCTGTTGCCCTGTGGATAGTATAATGTCATGACTGGAAATTTTTCCTTATCTTTTCTAGTACAAGGATGCATTTATGAAAGCAAATCCAGGGTACAAGTGGTGCCCCACAACAAACAAACCTGTGAAAACCCAGTCATCCACTATTACCAACAGGAAAAAGATATGGGCCTTTCCATCTGACTCTGCAAAAGATTTACCAAGCCCGAGGAAAGTGACACAAAGTGAAGAAATGCCACAGCTTAACTTCGGGATGGCAGGTGAGATTTCCATCCATGTTACTCAGATGTAGAATCCTCATTTTGTTAGAGTTTGCAGCATTGGAATTGAACTGTGGCACCAGTTTTATTTACTGCACATGGTACTGTAGAACAAATACCTTTCATGTCCCTAATTCAGTTGCCAAAACTCAAGTTAAATGTCAGCATAACAGCTTTCTAAAAATTCCCGTATGACATGATTGCTCATGAGAGTCAAGTCCAGATACGTGACATCATGACCTGTACCTCATTTGAGGTCCAGATTTGATTGATTTTTAATTCCTTTGTATCTGCTGTTAGAGATTTTCCATTTTCTAGTCAAAAAGGAAAATGCTGATTGTGTGTATTGGTTTTCATAGAGCATTGTACTTTGTTTAGTAATTGGCTATTTACAAAAATCATTTTTGGGTGTCTATGAAGTTGGAGTTGTTAACGTTCTTGTGGATGAATGTACTGGTGGAGCTAACTTATATTTAAATCAAGAGAAGTGTAATTTGATTTCACTTAAAATGTGCTCTTCCATGCATTATACCTCAGAAGGGCAGATTCTAACCTATTAAACATTAAAAAAAAATAATCCATTAATAAGTAGGTGGAGCTCCTGAACCAGTGAAAGGCATGTAATCTGTCACTGATAACCACAAATAGCAGAACTGCAATCATGACCTTGAGATACAGAAACATAAATGTTAAATGCTAGAAGCTTAAGACCTGACAGTCAAGGTAGAATACAGGTTTTTCCACCACCACTCTTTTTTTTTTTTCCTTTTTGTTAAAAGTTCATAATTATATAAATACTGAATTATTTGAAACTTTGTCATCTCCAACTTAGTTGAAGATAGACATGTCTATCTACCTGGCAGATAGACACTGCCTAGAGAGATCATGAGCTTGAAGAGTGGAAAATGGTTTTGTGGAACAAGTTTAAAAGGATAAAAAGTCATGTATACCTTTTTACCAGTACAGTGGTATGGAAATTCCCATAATTAAATTATTTTTGGCTATGGACGAACTGTGAAATGTGATCAAAATAAAGGTTTTTGTCCTACATAGTTATGATATATGGGAGACCAGTTTTAAAATTTCAAGCCCCTTCATTCAGTTCTGCTTTTGCTATCAGAGGAGTAACTTCTATGCTCCTTAAAGGTTTATTGACTTAACGCAAAGAATAAGTAATAAGTCTTGTCTTGGTCCATCTGTCATCCCCCAATGCTCCTGCTGGAATATCCAAATGGAGAGTTTTGGAGTACAGAGAGATCTTGACTCAGTACCTGTCAGAGCAGAGGACAGAACTTAAGAATTAATTAGAAACTAATCTAATCCATTGCTTTATCTATGGAGCCATTAATTTCTGAAGAAGGCCCTCTTCTGTGCTACATGTGATTTAATTTTTTTTATTACTTTTTTTTTTGCTGCATACTGAGTCAATGAACGTAGTAATTCATAGGAATCTCACTCCAGTCCTCGTGCCAAAGAAGGCTGGCTGTTTCTTGAGTGTAACAGTAGCTCATGAGATAATGACACCTTCTGACAGTGATGTTAGCATTCAAATGATGGCAAGTCTGCCATGCCAGATGGAGTACTGTTTTGTCAACTGTATACCACTTCATGCTAAATAAATTTTGTTGTGTTCTCTTCTCCTTGACTTCATGTGATAGTTCAATTCAACTCTGACTCTTATGTCCCACACAACCTCTCTTAAAGTACAGGCTGTATAGTAGCTGATGTAAATGTAGTTGAACTACCTCAGAAAAACTTTTGCCTTTGAAATCTTCATGGCAGATTCCAGAATCATTCCAGGAAATCTGTTTTACTTTTTGGTAGTCATTAATTCTGTCTCAACTGCTTTTTACAAATTACATTTCATTTTAAAAAATATAATACATAAAGAGTAACATTTGCTTTTCTTTTTTTAAGTCCCACGGAGGCTATATCTCTCCTTTATTTTTGGTATTCCAACAGTAACCACCCTACTTCTAATTCTCTCCTGTTGACCTATCATTGCATGAAGAAGCTGAGGTGTGGCACCAGCATTAGGCTTCTGACTTGCAGACCCCACTAGTGATATTCTTGCTCATTCTAGCCTGGAAGTTGTGTTTGAGCATGTTCTTCTCATGACATGGCTCAACTCT